CCTTTATTTTTTGTAATTTGTATATGCCTTCACTGGGAATCGAACCCTTCCTTGAAATCTGTTATGTGTGACTGACATCAACACATTGACGAAACCTCTCGGCTACCAATGGGTTACACTATAGATGTCTATTTTATATATTTAAATGAACATCTGATATACATCGGTTCATCGGACACACAGGGCTTGTACCTTTATATAGACACAATAGGCAGTCGTATAGTATGAGTTGGTAGCCGCGAGGTTAGCATGGTTAAAATCAATGAGTTAAAGATAGGGATTTGTCGGTTTAGGTTCGAATCCTTGTATTCTCTCTGTTGTTCCAATTCTTAAATGATCCTGGTTTTTTTCTAATTTTGCATGTTATAGTGGATATTTTTGTAATAATAGCGAGTTTTACCGGTTTTTTTTTTTATATTATTATTGGCTATTTCACATGTTTGAAACAAAAATGATTTCATGGTTTCTTTTTCAAGAATCCACGCTTATCCATTGTATCTATATAACATAATGCTGCCGTCAAGAGGTAAGTTAAATAAAAATATGTAGCTCACGGAACTTTGCCGAATGTTTTGTCTTAATTTATACCAAGTTGATTTCATTAAAAAAATAATATAAACCAGTTTAAACAGTTCCACAATCTCAGCGTCGTTGACGATTACCGATAAAAAATACATTTGTTTCCTCAGAAACTATTTTAAAATGCATGAAGCATATTGATTTGCAAACTTTTCCGTGATTATATTTTTACTTATCAAATGGTTTTACCTTGTCTAGCTAACCTGAAACATCCGTATAACTCTTTTTTAAAAAAAACAAGGAAACTCTTCCTTTCCGATAAATCAGTCCCAGCGTCAATTTTGGAAACGCTTACTTTCGGAGTCTAAGGAAACGACTCCTTTTTCAGTTCCGATAAATCAGTCCCAGCGTCAATTTTGGAAACGCTTACTTTCGGAGTCTAAGGAAACGACTCCTTTTTCAGATTCACGTATAAGTAATGTTATTTTTAAATAAAAATGTAGCCGTACGCGCAGGCTAAGAAGTAAGCACGACTTTAACTTATTGTTTTTACGATATAAAAAGTATAAGATATGGACTTTGTGACAATGAGACAACATTTCATTAATATAGAACATGGTAAAATGTCACCGTGAATGATCACATTTTCGGTCAAGGTTGCATCTCCCATATCCTTTCTTATACATTAGCAAAATTGTAAGGCAGAACTTTGTATTTTGGCATTATTTAAAGAATAAAGGGCAGATTCTCAATGAAATGCACATATATATACTGTTACTTTCAGCCGAAAAAAATCAATTCTAAAAGAAAAAAGAGAGGACTCTGCCGGGCTTCGTGCACCGAAGAGAGCAAAGGTAACTTTTATATCTGAAGAAAACCAGACAATGCCAGACACATGTCTGGATTTGTAATTATCTTAGAACGTCACATGTTTGCATGCATGGGTGTTATCATGTCGATTATGTAATAGGACGCAGTTTTGTAAATCCTGAGTTGACAGACAAGACAATTCACATGATTCCTTAAGCAATGAAGTCGGGAAAATCAAAAGTTATCAATTTAAGTTTACACAGATCTAATTTTGTTGCATAAATGTTCATTTTAAAATATTTTTACAACATAATGCTGATCAATGCTTATATGAGATCCATCATTTTGATTTTTATAAGTCCCGGGACACCAAAATGTTTAAGCAGAGATGCATCTATCCACAGTCTGACCGTTGGTATAAACATTTTTAATTTATCTGAAAGGATGCGTTTCCTAGTAACTGTTATCTCAAAGGAAGCGTTTCCAAACTCTGAAAGGAGGCGTTTTGGTTGATGTTCAGAAAAAAAAACAGATTTTGCATGCTTGAAAAGGTTAGGAATCTTATAATATATACAAAATGAAAACTCAGAACTTATATTATAATCTAATTAATTGTATATTGTGTTAAACGGTCAATTGTTCTTGCATTCATGACTTTTATTTTTGATAAACTTGTTGTACTCGTCGACGCTCAGTCGGAAAGCAAGCCCTTATCTGTTTTTACTTGCCATTGGAGTCAGAAATAGATGTCTTTCTATCTTTTAAGCATGTGTCTGATTTTTAAATAAAACTGAGACTACTATAACACATGTGTTGTAGTAGTCTCAGAAGAAAATAATACCCAAATTGGCCGTCCTTTAACAAATACGGTACAGTAAAATGTAGTCTGTTAGTTTTTTCTTCTTTTTTTTTCACAGATAACCAAAAATTATAACGTTATATATATATAACCTATAAAAAAATAATAACGTATCTGTTGTAGTGTAAATCCGTATGCTTTCTGTAATCGATTGAAGACATTAGCAAATCTTATTTTGGATACTTGTTTATGTACTTTGTTCCGTCACCTATCAATTCTTTCAAGAATATTAGTATTTCATTGATAAATTGGCATAAAGGACACCTACCATTCAATCGTTGTAATCTTTTTCTGTGTAGTATCGGAAAGGACGCGTTTTCTGACTCGGAAAGGAAGCAAAAACGCCGATTCTATATCGGAAAGGAAGCGTTATGAATATACACCGTGGTTACTAAGTTCACTAACTGGTGTCTAATCCATTAGTCTTTTTGAACATTAAAATGTGTTTAAACTAAACCAAAACTACTTAACATTTTGATCCATATCATTAGTGTAAAGATTAGGTAAAATAAACATACCACTAAAAGGTACAAGTAAAATCACTTATAAAGATGCTCACAGTAAATGTGAAAGATTGATTTGACTATTCTGTTTGTGTCTCTCTAGGTCATACACTGTAAAATGGTGTTTAGATCCTAAACACATTTCTAAGCACATCTTTTGTGCACTTTTTTACATGTTTAGATCTAAACGTGTCTCAGTACAATGTGTTCAGGATTGTGTTTAGAATCGTGTTTAGCTTAGAAATAAGTGTTTAATTTCTAAACACTTTCAGTTTTAAACACAATAAAAGTGTTTAAATTCAAGACATGTTTAGATATTATGTGCTTACTGAGAAATGTGTTTAGAAATTAAACACAATCCTAAACACGTTTAGATCTAAATATGTGATACAAGTGTTTAATTTCTAAGCACGACTTTTACAGTGTATACAATAGCTCCTCGCGTGTTCAGGTACTTGCACGACTTTTACAGTGTATACAATAGCTCTTCACGTGTTCAGGTACTTGCACGACTTTTACAGTGTATACAATAGCTCTTCACGTGTTCAGGTACTTGCACGACTTTTACAGTGTATACAATAGCTCTTCACGTGTTCAGGTACTTGCACGACTTTTACAGTGTATACAATAGCTCTTCACGTGTTCAGGTACTTGCACAACTTTTACAGTGTATACAATAGCTCTTCACGTGTTCAGGTACTTGCACAACTTTTAAAATTTTTGGTTTGAGCGTTCTTGATGAAAGTAAATAAAAAAAAGAACTTCGGACGCACCAAACGTTATAGAATGTTATTTTCAACTCTGAAAATAAAAATCAATTAAGGTTCTTTTAAAATCAACTTGCTGATAAGAAATCAGGTCTATCATCAACTGCTGAATTTAAAAGTATATTTTATTTATTAACGTTATAAACAAGAGCATACATGATCTTGCTAATTGCCCTCCCCAAAAAAACAACAAACAAACAATAAAAAAAAACATAAAACACACCAAGCATAATGGTTGAACAACAGGATGATAACCTTCATTAATACAGTGGCGGATCCAGGGGGAAAAGGGGGGTGGTTCCGGGGGTCGGAACCCCCTTCTTTTGACGATCAATGCTTTTGAATGGAGACATATGGTTGGAACCCCTCTTTTAAAAATGGCTGGATCCGCCCCTGCAATATGTCTCATAAGCCAAATATTTAAGCAATTTTGTCATTTAGTTCAGTGGCCTAGAACTTAAACATGAATTGCCATTTTTTTAATATTCCGATTATAGCGTCCTGGGACTGACCTTTGAATTTAAGATAGAATTTTTTATTCAGTAGCTTTATAATCCTGGTACCTTTGATAACTATTTACACCACTGGGTGGATGCCGCTGCTGGTGAACGTTTCGTCCCCGAGGGTATCACCAGCCCAGAAGTCAGCACTTCGGTGTTGACATGAATATCAATTATATGGTCATTTTTATAAATTTCCTGTTACAAAACTTTGAATTTTTCGGAAAACTAAGGATTTTCTTATCCCAGGAATAGATTACCTTAGCCGTATTTGGCACAACTTTTTGGAATTTTGGGTCCTCAATGCTCTTCAACTTTGTACTTGTTTGGCTTTATAACTATTTTGATCTGAGCGTCACTGATGAGTCTTATGTCGACGAAACGCGCGTCTGGCGTATTAAATTATAATCCTGGTACCTTTGATAACTATTTGAACATTCCACGGTCTTTTTTCGTTTACTTTGATTGCATTTTTCGATCTGACGATGCTAGCACAAAATGATGAACGAAGTACAATGCCAACATAAACACTAAACATTTCTTCAACGTGTACAATACATGAATAAAAAGTATAAAATGCACTATTTTTTATTTATTTCTAATTTACAGGACAGAATACAGATCCTCAAACATACATTATCATTGTTTCTGAAGGGCAACGTTTTTTCCATCAGGAACCAGATGAGTTATTTCCTTGAATGACTTAATGACATACCCTTCCGGAGCGCTTATATCACCCCCGGTTTTTGGTGGGGTTCGTGTTGCTCAGTCTTTAGTTTTCTATGTTGTGTTTTGTGTACTGTTGTTTGTCTTTGGTCTTTTTTTTTGCCATATATTTTGGTATCTTTCGCCTCTCTTTTTAACATACCACATTTTTAACTAACTAAGTTTTGCTCTGTTTAGTACAGATCTTGCAAATGTGAACCGTTAACAAACGACGTAGTTCCCATAAGTAATAACAGTGACACGTTCTGAAAGAGTAAGACGTAACAGCAAGGTTTAGAAATCTTCTGTGTTAAATAGCACTAAGTAAGGCGTGGTGTATAGATAATATTTATTTCCAATAGAGGAACCCATTGCAGGCAAACATCAGTACAATTATTAGATAAATACATATGAATTATACAAATTACAAACTTTAAATAAGAAATATCTTAAATCTGGAATATATCATTATATTCAGAGTTTCTTGAGCATGTGCCAGAAACAGCACTATATTCCAGACGTAGATAAAAAGGAAAAAAATGATACGGGAGTGATTGTCCAATTTAAACCAATGTTGTTTGGTAAACTGCTTGGATCCGTTGAACATACGATATTAAAAAGGCATGTGAGCTTTTTCAGGAACTTTTCTGTTAATATTCTTGTCTGCTTGTTCCTTTGACTGTTTTTCTGTACGCTCATAAGGACGTTTAAGAGTATCATGACAAAGAGTAACTCCAAATCCTGGACGATCTGGTAAATCTATAAATCCATCCTTTGGAAGTGGTTCATCTACGAAAAGATTGCCAAAATATGGTGTAATTTTGTCTGCTTTTGGGCTAAGATTTATGAATTCGGCTACAGGACAATTCCGAAACGCATACTGCAGATGGTAGGAATACACGCTTGATCCATGGGGAATTATGATTGTATCATATGGAGAAGCCATGGCACACACTCGACGCGCCTCGGTAATACCTCCGAGCCAAGTTATATCTGGCTGCAGAATATCAACACACCCTGCGGTAATTAGTTGCTGAAATCCGTATCTACTGTATTCATGCTCTGCTGTGGTCAACATTACGCTACTTCCGCGTAAGGCGCTACGAACCTCGTTATATCCAGTGTAATTATCTGGTGGTAGAAACTCTTCCATCCATTTCAGCCCGTATTTTTCAAGTTCTTTAGCTAATTTAATTGCATATGGCACAGTAAGAGCCATGTAACAGTCTAACATAAGCGGAAAGTTTGGACCAACCTTCTCTCTCCAATTCTTAAAGAACTCCACATTTTTACGGAAACCTTCATCGCCTGCTGCTGGCCCGTATGGACATGGTACTTTCGCACCGACGAAACCAAAGTCTTTAGCTATATCTGGTCGTGCTGTTGTACAGTAGACTGGAAGTCTATCTTTTGTTTTCCCGCCAAGTAAAGCATAAACTGGTTCCTTTCGGATTTTTCCCAATAAATCCCAGATAGCAATATCTACGGCGCTTATTGCCTGAACAGACAAACCTTTTCTTCCATAATTCCAGGTAGCACGAAACATTTGATCCCAAATAAGCTCAACATCTCGAGGATCTTGACCTTCGACAAAACGACTTAAATGTTTTTCAACTATATAACACCCAGGTTCTCCGCCAATAGTGATCCCGACACCTGTCGTTCCATCCGTGGCTTCCACCTCGACTACAAGGGATCCAAGCGCATTAATACCCCATGATTTTCTGGTCGCTGAATACTGTTCGTAACCCGACATTGGATTAGCGACAGGGGTCGGGAACCCGTTAATCCAGTGATCGTCTTGCACATCATGACAGTCGGCTCCCTGGTCTCCTAGCGACTGCTGCTCAGTAACAAAGGCTCGAACAGCTTTAATTCTGGGGAAATCTCTGCACTTATTGTTCGACATGATGAACCTTTTTTGATGAATTGCAATCTTCCGATGGTTAACAGGTGTAGTTATCAGTACGTACGTGGCTATGTAAATTCATCCTATGCTTATTTGTCAACAACACCTTACCTATCAAATACTAGCTTTATTTATATAAAGGTATCTTATAGTTGATAAACACCGTCCGTGGGAAAGATAGAGATAGATGGGGCAATTGATAATGGAGATTAAATAAAGAGCTCATTGAAGGTCGCATCAGTCGGCCCGATAAATTACGGGGCAACAGTTAATTAAAGTCCACAATATAAACAATCATATGGAAAGCAGTTGATAATTTATCCTTCATTCTGTTATTTTTGTTATGTTATGTTTTTATCGTTTTAACAATTATTGATAAATGTTATTGTTAATTCACAGCGTCTGGTATTTATGGAAGTCATTTATTCGCTTATATTTTTTATAGTTTGAAATAATACAAAATTGTGTCTTTATTTATTCTTTATTTTCATCTCTGTTTTACCGTTTTTGTATTGCAGAAGGGTTATCTGTTCATGCCATTGAAGTACACTCGGAAGTACAGCTGTTTATAGCAAAGTGTAGGACGTTGGGATTTTTATATCACAAATCATCAAGTACTTTTTAGTACTTTGAGTGTGCTTCAGTAATTGAATGCATTCTTGATCTTTCTTGAAAGGTATTATTTGGTGTTGGTCCAATTGAACTGGTGTTTTTGTTCGTGAGGCATTACGTTTATCGTACCAAATCTAACAGGACATGGCTTAGAAGATATACATCACACACAGCCAATCGGACACCCTCCTTATCATTGGTTTTACCGCCAGATGGAATAAGTCCAGGTGATCATATAGTGCTACCCAAGTCAACTAATTGGGGTAACATAATCCCCCGCCCCCTGAAAAAAAGAAACATTACATACAATAATTGAACAAAAACATTAAGATAATAAACTTTATCAATATTTGTAATACGGCAATAATAATGTAAACTGTGTGTGAGATGCCACTTCTTATTAGATATATATTCCTGCAGTTGGAATCATAATGCGAAAAAAAAACTCGAGTACAGCCAAAACGACTAATGTGACACAGCTGCTTATGTGAAGCGGCGAAAATGTTTTATTATAAATGAAATAGTTGACATATGGCACATTTAACTTGTTTAAATGTGAGGTAGGAAACAACTGTTCAATGAAAGAAATGTTATTGCCTGGTCGTTTATTTAAGGCTGAGGTTGCAATTTCAGGCCATTAAAATTTACCAGTGATATATTAATTTTATCCTTAGAAAGTCAGTATTTCCTGTCTTTGAATTATTTCTCAATGCATGTAATTGCATATAATTTTGTAGGTGTAGCTTATTCAGAAGGTACGATTCAGAACATCAATAAATAAAGCGGTTGAGTCATATAAGCTTATATTAAACTCCAAATCGACGGTCAATTATTTGCGCCTTTAATTGAAATCTTTTTCCTTCCGTTCAAGTCGTTTGATAGCTGAGCGTGCAGTTTTGTTTGTACATTGCATGGTAGCTATCGTGAATCTATAAACAGATAATATGATAGTTCAAATATGTTGATAAGTTTTCTTACGATAACCAAATTCACCAGATAGTTTAATTTATATTTAACCTATAGCTGTACAATGTAACCTATGGGAATGCAACAAGAGTATAAATCTCAATAACCGAAAATTATACCATAGCTATCTATGGTATAATTTTCACAATTATACCATGGTTTTGTTGTATTTGGTATTCGAAAAGAAAAAAAGGAAGATAGCAAGGCCTATTCGAGGCCGCCTGATTTTTTTTAAATAGGAACAACAGAGTCAGTGTAGGGGCCACTAAGCTAAACCGCCCGCTTTGCACCAGCCGATATAAATGAATGCCTAGGGTGGGAATCGAACCCACATACACCAACTCCGTTGTCCTATATTTTTAAATGAACGAAAATTCGATTCAAGAACAAAGTTTTAAAAAAAAAGTATATATAAATATATTATTATATTATACTTGAAAATATAATTCGATTTTCGGTTATTGAGATGTATACTTGGATTGTAGTCCCTTAGGATCAACTGTATAGCTACATGTAAAGGTTGAAATTTGCCGTGGCGGCTTTTTAAGGGGGAGGAAGGGGGAAGGCATGCCCCTTTCAAGAAGCTTTATATATGGTAAATGCATAGATATTTCGTTTTATTACTCCAAATATTGGATGGCTAGACCCCCCCCCCCCCCCTCCTTTTCAAAATCCTGGATCCGTATCCGATTTTATATACATCTTAATTTAACGATTTGCTTAAGTAATAACTATAATGTTGGGCCGTTAAGAATAGAAAGCGTCTGGTTACTCTAAATAAAGGTGAACTTTTGTTTAAATTATCTATAGTCTACATGTGATTTTTAATGATCTTTAATCGTGATCATTTTGAAATCCTTTTTAATTAGATTCAATTAAATGAACAACTTGGGCTTCTGGTACAAATTAAAACATGGAATGATTCATCCAAACTCTCAGAAAGATTCTTGTGAATTAAATTTCCACAGAATTATAAATTAATACCAAAAACTTAAAAACATTTCAAATATTTTGATAAAATAAAATAAAAAACTAACCCTTTGCAGTTCAACTTTAAATCTGGGTTCCAGAAATCTTTCAAACTATATCTTGCGTCCATATACATACAGAACATATAATTCCTTCAACAGTTTTTAGTCTGTAACGTTACCCGTCACCAATGTAGATGTGCATCCATCGCTGTCGAAAAATCTTGTCCAACTGATTTCCCCGCTGTTTCAGAAGCCCGTGCGTATTTTATAAAGTAGGCGGAGCTTAATGTGTAAGGTCCTAAAAGGGTAATTTGACCGATTCTTATCAAAATTATTTTTGAAGTTAATAAACAAAAATATATGAAATATACATTTTTAAACAACAACATATGCAATAGGTTAAAACAGATATTTCATATATTTTGGTTAGTTTTGTGGTGTTTCGTAAATTATACCATAGTTTTTTGTTGAAACCCCTCGGCAACCTCACTCGACTTCGTCTCGTGAGGTTATTGCCGGGGGTTTCAACAAAAGCTATGGTATAATTTACGAAACACCACAAAACTATTCAAAAGATATGAAATATCTATAACATATCAAGGTCAGACTAACAACGATAGTGTTGATACAATTATAATATAAGAAATAAATCAGAGATTTGTTGAGGTAAACGCAAATTAGACAGATCATGCACGGAGACCAAAACATCAACATTTAAAAGCGCATTAAATCGGCGGATGTTGGGTCTTCATTTGACACTTACTTTAATCCAAAGTTAAAATTGATCGATGTTCTGTATAATTTTATTTTTGCTGCATTTTTTCTGAATAAAATCGATTCCGTACTTCGAGTTTGTGACATGCATATATGTTTTACTTAATACATTTATTCTTTTCTGAATTCTATCTATAAATTTCTTTCTAGCATTACTCAAAACAATGTTTCTTTGCACCTGTACATGACTTTATTGTATGAAATCTTCTTGCAAGCAAATCAGCCGTTTTTTTGTGTGCAATAAGACATATTTCCTATATCGGCGGTTGGAATACTTTCAAGTTATGCATGCTAAGTGTTACTGCAAGCATTGTTTGATATGGTGACTTTCGTTTTTAGGTGTGTTTATGTCATATGCATACAATACTAAAATTATTATTTCATTTTTGTTGTTTTGTTTTTGTCGTGTAAGTGATCATAATTTAGAAATTGAATTAGGACGTTATAAAAAAATTCAAAGAGAACACAGACTGTGCAAAGTTTGTAAAGTTTTAGATGATGAGGAACACTTTTTCCTTCATTGCCAAATTAACAGTAATGTAAGACATTCCCTTATAAATGCAATTAAAACCCATTATCCTAATTTTAACCAGCTTGACTCAAACTCTAAACTTAAAACTATTCTAGATCCCAATAAAAATATTTTGTCTAGTGTTGTAGACTATATAAAGCAATCTATGGAATTGCGAAAATAAGGTCCACATTGGTCAATTATTATATATATATATATATATTATTAATATCAACTTGACTTGTTTAAAACATTTATCATGTATTATGTTTCTTGTCACTTGTGTATACAATGTACTATGTTTGCTTTTTAGCCCGCCAGGGTTTCATGTTTTGCAATAAAGTTTATATGTATACAGTTTGATCCTTTTTGGTGATATAACTCTTCAACTGTTTCGATTCTTATACAACTTTGGTTCTCAAATATTCGGCTTTGAGTGTTCCTGATGAAGGTAAATCCAGAAAATCGCTCCGGACCCATGAAATTCATAACGTGTTGTTTTCATTTTTGACAGCACTGGGTCGATACCTCTGCTGGTGGACTATCATTCCCCGAGAGTATCAACAGCTCAGTAGTCAGTATTTCGGTACTGACATGATTTATTACAAAGTTCTCTAAAATTGTCCGTTTATAAATTTGGAAATTTTAAAGAAACTAAGGTTCCAACTCCTTCAGGCAGAGTTGAACTTAGATGGATTTGGCAATTTTTAGGTCCTTTTTGGTCATACAACTCTTCAACTGTTTCGGTTCTTACAATATTTGGCTAACAGATATTCGGCTTTGAGTGTTCCTGATGAAGATAAATCCTTAAAAGTGCTTCGGACGCATGGAAATATCAAGCAATTAGAAACGAAAGACCTACCATTTCTGGCTGACAACAAATGGAAATATCAAGCAAGTAGAAACGAAAGACCTATCATTTCTGGCTGAGGACAAATGGAAATATCAAGCAAGAAGAAACGAAAGACCTACCATTTTTGGCTGAGGACAAAGGGAAATATCAAGCAAGCACAAACGAAAGACCTACCATTTCTGGCTGAGGACAAATGGAAATATCAAGCAAGCACAAACGAAAGAACTACCATTTCTGGCTGAGGACAAATGGAAATATCAAGCAAGTACAAACGAAAGACCTATCATTTCTTGCTGAGGACAACTGAAATATCAAATTAAATTGTTTAAGAATGTTTTTTGAAAACATTTATTTCAAACGACCTCATTGTTACAAGGAAGAACACTTAAAATGGCATATGCGCTTTTTCCACAACAGCCTTCTTAATATTTCGGTCTGCTTGTTCTTGGCTTTGTTCCTCTGTTCTCTGATAGGGACGTCTGAGTGTATCGCGACAAAGAGTTACACCAAATCCAGGACGATCTGGTAAATCAATGAATCCGTTAGCTGGCAGAGGTTCGTCTAGGAAAAGACCACTAAAGAATGGGGATATTGTATCAGCCTTTGGACTTAAATTGATAAATTCAGCAATTGGACAGTTTTGAAAAGCATATTGTAGATGGTATGAATACACACTTGATATATGAGGAATTACCATAATATCATAAGGAGATGCCATTGCGCATATCCTACGTGCTTCGGTAATACCTCCGAGCCAAGTGATGTCTGGCTGAAGAATATCTACACATCCTCTTGAAATCAACTGTTCAAATCCATATCTGCTGTACTCATGCTCCCCTGTAGTAAGAAGGACAGTGCTGCCGCGCATTGAATCACGAACATCGCTGTATCCGGTGTAATTATCTGGCGGAAGAAATTCTTCGATCCACTTCAGTCCATATGTTTCTAGTGCTTTTGCGAGTTTGATAGAATACGGTACAGTCAATGCCATGTAACAGTCTAACATTAAAGGAAAATCAGGTCCGACCTTTTCCCGCCAGTTCTTGAAAAATTCTACATTCTTTCGAAAACCTTCATCACCAGCTGATGGCCCATAAGGACACGAAACCTTTGCCCCTACAAATCCAAGCTCTTTTGCAATGTCTGGTCGCGTAGTCGTGCAATAAACAGGGAGTCTCTGTTTAGTTTTACCGCCAAGCAAGGCATATACTGGCTCTTGTCTAATTTTTCCAATCAAATCCCAAAGCGCAAGATCAACTGCGCTTATTGCTTGAACCGATAGCCCTTTCCTACCGTAATTCCACGTCGCCCGAAACATCTGGTCCCACATAAGTTCAACATCTCTGGGGTCCTGACCTTCAATGAATCGACTAAGATGATGTTCCACTATGTAGCATCCAGGTTCTCCACCGATTGAGATCCCCACACCAGTCGTACCGTCAGTGGCTTCAACTTCGACAACTAAGGAGCCAAGTGCGTTAATGCCCCATGATTTCCATGTGGCTGCATACTGATCATATCCCGACATAGGATTTGCAATTGGTGTTGGATATCCATTAATCCAGTGTTTATCATCAACGTCATAACAGTCTGCTCCTTGGTCCTTTCCTTTGTCATCACTGGCATTGTTGTCAGAAATGTAAGCTCGGACTGCTTTTATACGAGGAAATTTCCGACATGTTGTCTTAATTATAGTAGTCATTTTACAACCAAGCTTGAAAACCTGATAAATAAGTATAATGATAAAAAACATCTGATAGTGAAAGATAACGTATGCCATCTCACGGACAGCAAAGTTGATGATAAACAGATGAATAATTTTCTTAACCAAAAGGTCAGATGCGATATTGTCAATTTCCTTTTCTTATCAACTTTTTTTAATAAAATCAATATGAAAACAGCTTGGTAGCCAAAATATACTTTGATGGATTGTAAAGTTGGATGCCTTCCTTCGGAAATGCATGTCATTCATGTAACGAACAATTCCTCCGATAAAAACGCTTCCCCCTCTTTTTATGCCGAATTCATAGAACAGAAACAAACTTCAAGTACTTTCAAAGCGGTTTGTGTTTGTACCGGCCGACAAAACAGCCAACATGTGGTGCTGGTATGCCGTAAATACTACATGGACGTTCTTAAGAATGAGATTTTAAATTCTTCTACATTCAAGTCCGTGCGCTCCACAGAGAGTCATATAGTAAACAAGCATATCAAAACCACATCACAGCTTAAGGCCTCTTCTGAACAATTGAAGGTCCCTACTAAGGATTGGTTACCTAAACTACACACAAAAAAGTCAAATATCGTATCATCTCGGCCTCTAGTAAGTGATCTACAACTGATCTTTCAGTGCCTTTTTTTTTAAACTAGTTCCATAACTAATATCAAAGAATCTATCATTAACTTTTGTAATAAAATATATGAAAATAGTGGAATTAACTAATTTTGGAGTGTAAAAAATTCCTTGGATGTTTTAGATAAATTACGTGCTTTTGATAGTCCTTTTGATTCTGTTGACAGTTTTGACTTTTCAACTCTTTACACTACACTTCCACACAATCTTATCAAACAAAAGTTTTCCTATTTAATTAACTGGTCGTTTGGTAAATCTGAATGCAAATATATTTGCTGCAACTCATTTAAAGCCTTCTTCTCTAATGAGAAAGGTAAATATGCTAGATATACTTACTGGAGGTGTGATGAGATGATTGAAGCTGTTAATTTTCTCCTTTATAACAATTATGTACGTTTCGGCAATAAAGTTTATCGACAGGTAGTATGTATTCCTATGGGCACCAATTGCGCCCCTTTAATATCAGACTTGTTCTTGTACTGTTATGAATCACAGTTTATGACCAAACTCAGTACAGACCCGTCTAAATTGCATTTAATTGATAAATTCAACAACACTTACCGTTATCTTGATGATATTTTTTCGTTAAATAATCAAGAATTTTTTAAATATCCTGCCGAAATTACTCAAAGGAACTTACTCTAAATAATTCAAATGTAAATGGTAATAACTGTCCTGTCCTAGATGTAGATATTTCAGTTTCACACGGGAAACTCTACACTTAAATTTACGACAGAAGGGACGATTTTTCGTTCCCTATTGTTAATTTTCCTTTTCTGGACGGTGATGTTCCTTTGGCACCATCTTACGGTGTTTATATATCACAACTCGTTCGCTACGCCCGTGTCTACTGTGACGTTTTGGATTTCAATGAACGTAATCTATGTATTACTGGTAAATTATAAGTCAGGGATTTCGTTACCACAAATTACTTAAAACCTTTACTAAATTCTTCCATAGATATAAAGATTTGGTTTTGAAGATTGGTTGTACCTGTAGAAAACTCATTTCAAACGGGATAGCAAATCCTAATTTTTACGAAGATGTTGTTTACCGAGCCCGGAAATTTAGAAACGATCCGGGTAAACATATCGATCCTTTAAATAAACTTATTCTAAAAGGGTACCAATTCAACACTGTAATTAGATCTTTGAATATTGTTTTTATTGGTATTAAAATTGATTTTGTTATCAGTAAATTAAAATCAAACTAAGTATTATTTTTATATGTATATACATATGCATATTCATGGCTCTACAAGCTGTCGATACCTGTATCTTGGCATTGCACAAGGTCGTGTATTTCTCTGACTGTTTATGACGTCTTTACACTAAATCTATTGAATGTTGGATGTGTACTGATTGATATTTTAGTCTTAGATGCATGATTTTTTATTGGTTGTTATTGGCTTTGAACAACTAGCTGTCAGTAACTACGAGTACTCTCAGATCTGTACTTAGTGTCTTTTTGTTGTGGGGATGTATAAATACCCTGGCACGTCCACTCTGTGTTTTTGTTACTTGTTTTTGCTTTGTATCTATCTGATGAGTTAAACCCTTTTCAACTGATTTTTATAGTTTGTTCATATGTTGTACTGTTACACCACTGTCCAAGATTAGGGGGAGGGTTGGGCACCCGCTAACATGTTTAACCCCGCCACATTCTGTATGTGCCTGTCCCAAGTCAGGATCCTGTAATTCAGTGGTTGTCGTTTGTTGCTGTATATCATATTTGTTTTTCGTTTATTATGTTGTACATAAATCAGGCCATTAGTTTTCTCGTTTGAATACTTTTACATTTGTCATTTCGGGGCCTTCTATGGCTGACTATGCGGTATTGGCTTTGCTCATTGTTGAAGGCCGTACGGTGACCTATAGTTGTTAATTTCTGTGTCATTTGGTATCTTGTGGAGAGTTGTCTCATTAAGGAAATGTTTTATCATGATTTACTCCTTTTTAGACTGTAATATTCAGTTTTCTGTCTATGAAGAAATAACATAAAAAATGTGGTGCACACTGAATAACTCGCGTAGCGGGTTATTCAAAAGTGTGCACCACATTTTTTATGTTATTTCGAATAGACAAAAAAAGTATTACAGTCATTCCTTATAATTTAATTCTAAAAATTCGTAAGGGTTCCGCGGAACCCAGTGTCTCGCCTACTTTTCTGTTAATCGCAGGCTCAACAAAAATGAGGAAGTAAATCAATAAAAATATTCCCCTTGATACTATCTTCTGATTGTAAGAAGCTTCTGTCCAAGTTTGGTAAAAATCCAGGAGAGTTTATGAATCTAATAAATGTTTAAAAACTTTAACTGCAGACTGAATGTAATGTTAATTGGAAGAAAACAAATTTCCTTCTAGATACTAGCATTTGATCATAAACAAGCTTCTGTCCAAGTTTGGTTCAAATCCAAAATAGTATAAGAAAGTTATTAAAATTTTAAAAACTTTAACCACAGAGTGAATATGTTGTTTCCTGGCAGAAAATCTAAGTCCATTTAAAAGTAAAATACGGAAAAAATGGATTTATTTTTTTACAAAATTTCCTTCTAGATACTAGCTTTTGATCATAAGCAAGCTTCTGTCCAAGTTTGGTACAAATCCAAAATAGTATAAGAAAGTTATTAAAATTTTAAAAACTTTAACCACAGAGTAAATATGTTGTTTCCTGGCAGAAAATCTAAGTCCATTAAAAGTAAAATAAGGAAAAAATGGATTTATTTTTTTACAAAATTTACTCCTAGATACTATCTTATGATCATAAACAAGCTTCTGTCCAAGTTTGGTACAAACCCAGGATAGTTCTTCTTCTTCTTCTTCCATATACTGCCCACATTCAACATGATGAATATTCTGGCAAGTTGCGCATGATTAAAAACAGGTTAAAAACAGGATAAAAACAAATTGTTCTGTTGATTTAGTTTGTGGTTTTGGTGACTTGAGACTTGAATATCTCAAGAGACTTTGCTGTGGCGGTATCTGGTGGCAGTTTGTTCCAATCCTTGACGGTGTTTATGAAGAAGGACCATTTCCTACAGTCTTTGGTGGCTGGCTGTAATAGGTAAGTATGTTGTCCTGTCCGGTTTGAGCTTCTTGTTGGTTTTTGTAGATATTTATTCTTGTCTATGGCTACAAGGTCGTTTGTTATTTTGTAACACATGATGAGTCGTGCTTCTTTTCGTCTTGTTTGTAAGCTTTTCCATCCTAATTCATTTATCATGTTGCTGACACTTGATCTATTTCTATGTCTGCTGGTTACATATCGTGCAGCTCTTCTTTGTACCTTTTCAATTTTATCTATGTGGTTTTGCTGGTACGGGTCCCATACTGTCGTGGCGTATTCCATTTGCGGTCTTACTAATATTTTATAGGCATGCTCTTTGATGGATTTTGAGCTAATGTGGAGGTTTCGATGTAGGAAACCAAGGCTTCGGCTGGCTTTTCCTGTGATGTTGTTTATATGTTCTCCCCAATCTAGATCATTTGCGATGGTGCAGCCTAGGTATTTAGTTGATGTTTCATGCACCAGAGTATGGCCGTGGAGTTTATAGTCCCACTTGGTTGGCTTTTTCTTTTTTGTAACAGTGAGGACACTACATTTTTCAGGATGGAACTCCATTTTCCAGAGTTCTTCCCATTTTGCCAGTTTGTCCAGGTCTTCTTGGAGTTTATGGCAGTCGCTGTCTGATGAAATTGTCAAATAGACCACAGTATCGTCCGCAAACAGTCTCACTGTGGAGTGTAAGCCTTCTGGTAGGTCGTTGATGTAGAACAGAAAAAGACTGGGTCCTAATACTGATCCTTGCGGTACTCCGGATTCTACTTTTACTTTGTCAGATGTTTCGCCTTCAACAACTACTACCTGGGTTCTATTGGTGAGAAATTCCTTTATCCATTTGTTTGTTTTACTTCGGATGCCATAATGGTGTAATTTATGGAGGAGTAAGCTGTGGGACACCTTATCAAAAGCTTTTGAAAAGTCAAGTATTAGCAGATCTGATTGTTTTCCGTTTTCCAGGTTTTTTGTGATGTCATCGATACATTCAAGGAGTTGTGTTTCGCATGATCTTTTACTTCTGAAGCCGTGTTGTAATGGGTATAGTATGTTATTTACCTCTGCATGTTTCATGATGTTACTGGTGACTATGTGTTCTATTATTTTGCAGCAAATACATGTTAGGGATATTGGCCTATAGTTAGCTGCTATGTATTTCTGGCCTTTCTTATATGCCGGAGTGACATTTGCAGTTCGCCAGTCATCGGGTATCTTTCCTTCCTCCATTGAAAAATTGTATATGATGGTTAAGATTGGAGCAATTTCACTGGCTAGTTCTTTCAGAATCATTGGCTTGATGTTGTCTGGTCCAGCAGCCTTGTGTGGTTTTAGATTTTTCAGCTG